TCAAGATGGCTGACTACTTAATAACGATGAAAAGTTGAATATCTAGAGAATGAAAACTGTTATAAAAAAAGTGTAAATTGCATTCTCCTACATTTGTGGAGCTTTTTCTTTAGGGGGCATTATGTTGTTTGAATTGAGGTTCCCTTTAAGTGTGGGAAACTACCAAAATGTGGTTTTGAGACATACGCAAAATTAACCTCGTTTCCTCGAAAAGTGATAAGCAAGTGCTACACCTTCTCCGGCAAATGAGAAACTCGAATCACATACCTGGACCTTTAGGAAATGGAAATTTGTTTAATTTCATGGAACATGTTAACAAGAAATGACAGACTGATGACCGACAACTTAGTCGCCATTTTAACAACATTGTATTATTCAGGAAACAATAAACTGATAAAATTCCAAATAATCACATTACCAATAGCAAAATGGGAGAAACATATTTGTAACATGTCACTTATGTGAGTTAAAGCGTATTGTATCCAGATCTGAAAGTTTCTAAACTGCTATCTAACATGTCATTTCTAATCTCAGATATCTAAGCTGCCACCGGAATAGTTAAGACATTCAGTAAAGTTAAAATCATGACATGCTTGTTTACTAGAATAAACACATTCCAAGAAGGTAATAAACATGTTCCTGGTATGTTTGTAACATCTTCATATGGGGAGGGGATGCTCCAAAGACTTACCTAAATACCAAGCCGCTCTTCTGTGAGATGCATTCTCATCAGAAAATGCGTATCCCACCGTGTATATAGGTGATGCACCAATTCCATGAAGCACTTGAGCAAATACGAAAACGAAAAAATAATATGACAGGTCCCCCCATTCCTCTTCCTTGCAGTCACTTATTATTTGTGAAGTGTTTCTACCAGGCACGCATAGAGTGTCTCCTTCGCCGTACGCAGCGTCGTAATCGTACAGACCAGTAGTGAAGTGTGGGATAGCCCACGTTAAGGATCCACACCCCATGATCACAGCTCCAATGCCAAGTAATTTGGGTTTATTCCTCGTGGCACCGAAGTACGAGACGAATACAATGAGAACCATGACTGTAAAATCATAGGTGGCCACGATGATTCCTATTGCTGTGCTGGTAAGTCCGAACCGAATCTCAATGCTTGACAAACTCATGTACACGATCCCGTTGATGGCAAACCCCTGTATAAACATCAACGTCCCCAGTATCGTTGTTAACCAGTTTGGAGTTGCGAAACGTTGCATCCATGACGGTCGAAGGCTAAGCCATCCACAAAGTAGTGAATCTGTCTCCATCTGGAAGCTACTTATTTCCGAAGCAACAGAGCCACGCGGGCCTTTGTCAATATTCCCGTTATCCACATTGGCATCTCCGTTCTCACCAATATCCTTTCTCGTCATCTCAGTCTCAGACATTGTTAGTGAGGGACTGAAGAGCAAGAATACATAGTATTAAAGTTGCATGATTAGTATATACACTACAAAAGGTTTATATTGTGAATAGGAAATGAAACTGAGTAAGAATTCAACGTCAGTGAATGACTGCATGGTATACAATACACAAAATCGTCACTCCAATTTTTAATATATATAACGGATGACAGAATAGGTAAATGTTGCATACTGTTTTTGTGTTTTGTTATTTACCGCCATGTTTCGTTTCGATGACGGCGCTTTCTAGTTCGCTTTTAATCGAACGCAACGAACAGTGTAGCGCCCTCAGCACTACTCCCTTGCAAGACAAACATTCGTACAGTGCTCAATTAGCGCTTTTGTGTCTAAAAGGCGTCACTTCACGTACAAGAATCTACCAAGCTATTTTGTCCTCCGTTGTAAGACTCGGGGACGATTCTCTTATGCGAAATGTATGAACAATCAACGCGTCAATTCGTTGTGAAAAGAGGGAGGGAGGGAATGGTGTAGGTGCACCGTCGGTGAAGATATATATACATTGCGTATGTATTATTCACACAAAGCATGACAGGGTCTACGTGTCATCGACGGTTTAATGTTCTGATAACTGAGATGAGGCGAGGCAATACTTTTGTACCATGAACGCATGTAATAAAGATTAAGGCAGGTGACAAAACCGATAATATGCGCACGTTCATATAGCAATATAATTTATGAAAAATACTTGATTTGAACTATCCTAGTTTATAAGACATATAAATGTGGCTTTCTATTTTTCAATTTAGTCTACGCAATAGGGATGGACGCTGAAGGCTGCAGTATAGAAAAACAATTGTACCATGGTATCTGTTAACATTTGACAGTTTTGAGATAACGACTGACATGACAATGTCAAACACGGGTAGTACCCTGGTCAGGATTGAGAAACAATTTGGGCATAATATCCAACAACGCCTGGCATATTATCAGCCGAATCCCATTGTTCTACTTTGTATTACATTAATTAACCCCTGACCATGCAGATTTCCAGCAGCTAATCCTGACAATTATCTTGTGGGAATTATCCGCTATCTCATATGATCACAAATAAGTCAAACAGTCATTACTTCATTACACATTTATCGTGTCAAATATAACCGTACGTTGTTGAGAAATACGTGAATGTACAAACCTGGAGTTTCACAGAAGAACCAGAGATATTGACGTGGTGTACTCATCGATGTCTGTGTTTGGACACGTGGTTTGTACCAGTAAAGGATGACACGCGTGATATGAGGATTCAGAGGTTAATAATCGTTTCATCACTGCCGTGGTCAACAAACTATCCCAGCGACCTATACTACTAGTACTTGCTATCATTAACTTGTGTTAAATCACAACCGAGATCGCGGCGCGGCGTGTTTGATATGAGTTCCATGCGACGTAAACAACGCATGCACAAACACACTCCTCTAAAGCACGCCGGGGAATCTGCATTCTATGTTGAACGTTTGTTTGGTCATCTCTGTGGCTGCAAGTAACATATCTCATGATGATTGAAACTATTTATAGTTAGAAATTAGTGAATATCATATCAAATCCCCTAAAATAAGACTGATATCATCTTTCAACTAACTCATACCAGCCTACTCATTTTTGTTCTCACTATTCTGCCCAAGCAAGAATAACGAACCTGTAAATTATCTTTGGATGTAGCGTAATAATTTTAACAGTTTTTGCGGGTATTTGGGGACCGCCAATATCAAGAAATAATAACACACCTTACATACGTGTATCAAATCCATTTTTTACAGGAGTTCATTGTGCTGATTGTCTGGCGTGTTACACGAGTTCATTTAATATACGTATGCTGCTCAATAAACGTCACTATAAGAATATTATCTACGACAACAAATTAGACGCGTTTGTTTAAATAAGATCACTCAAACATACCTCCATATCTCTAACTCTTAATATATAATCTATTTACGCGCCATTATCAGTGAGTTGAGGGTACAATATAAATTAGCTACACAAAGTGTGTAACCATCATAACATTCTGACAATCCTGGTCTGTTCGCCATATATTTGAAACTGAACTTGACAACACCGACGTGCCTACTACTAAGGATGTAATTTAAATAAAGAACAGTGGCCTTCGTGCGAGAATTTGGGGAAGGCGAGCAGCAGGGCGCCTCCCTTTCGGCTGGGAAAAAACGACAAGTCAATTGACAAACCCAGGGCATGTCATGAGGAGATTTTCAAAAGCGCCCCTCACCCGTTATAACATTTCTGAATCCATCAGTGTATGACTAAACGGTACAATTGAAGTAAATGCCAAGCTATTTAATTGCAGCTCATTGGCTAACCAAACCTACACCTAAATGACAGGCAAATCAAAGAGCAGCTTGTTTCGTAGCAGGTTAGTACGAAGTAGCAAAGTCTGCCTTGTATCTATGGAAGTATGACGTACATGTGTTTATATGTATTTTCTCATCACAAACAACTATTTTCATTTTTCCACAATCGATAAACTGTCCTCCCGTGAATTAGCGAAATAGCAATATGCACTTCATGCGGGCCCGTCTTACCGAATGTCCATGTCGGAAATTACTCGCTGCCTTTTGTGTCGCCAATGCGTCACTTCTCCATAGTAGTCAACGCATTAATTGTTTCGGAGGGTTCCGTCATTTGATGACACAGCTATGCAACTATTGTAATCACTCGGTGGCTCACATATACCCCCAAAATAGGCAAACCAGTTTGGTCCACAAAATAAATCAGCTGCTTTCCCAGACGGAGTCTGCCACCTGTAGCTGGGTAGCCAGTAGCCAGTCTGATTTGTCTTGTTCGTGTTCTCTGATGAACCAAGTTTTCCAAATTCGTCATACAGCGCGCATTTGAAAACCAACAGCCCGTTTCAGAGGCTTTGTACTATTTTAATGGTCTTGGTATTGAATTTAGAAAAAGATCTCGTGATATGTGCTCGTATTGCATCAAATAAATCTCTTTCGTTTCGCCGGTACATGTAGAACATATACAGGATGTGCGCAGCAATTATTATTTGTTATAACTGCGATTATAATGAATTTTAAACGAAAGCCATCACCATTAATATTCCATTCAGACTAGGTCTGTCCCTAACGAAACGTGATAAAATCGCTATCGCATTTGTTTGTATGTTCATTGACATTGTTGTTATTAATTCTCGATATTATATACCAAAAAAAAACATTCTTATGTTGGACAAACTGTTAGTTCACGTTCCACTGCCTTCTCCATTTGCGGTTACACCTTGTCATTTATAGCCTTAATTTTTAATTAAACGAAAGCATCAATACATGTGTCGTTAGTGTGCGCTATTATTGCGTCAACGAATTCAAAAATGCCTTTGTGCAATGTCGGGATTCTTGTGACGCAAACGAGCTTCAAAACGTTCGGTGTATAAACTGGTGTAGTCAATGTAATTTTCATAAATCGTTTCCTGAAATCATACTCGTAAATTTCACGGCCGTTTTTATAGGAGGAAACAATAAAAAAAAATAATGGAAACAACTGCAACGACATGTTCTGGTCGCGACCGGAGTAAAATCAAATGAATCCCGTAACTTGCATTTTACCATTTGAGATACCGTGATCGTGAATAATATATGCTTGTTATCAAATTGCTTTTATTTTGTGCATGATAGATTTTATATAATCACAAAAGATCTGTTTTTGGAGAGAAAGAGTGATTGGTGAAAAACATACACGAAGAATGTGTCGCATAAAATCTGTATATTTCATACGGTTTTTTATATATCATATTGTCATTTAGACACAAAACTAAGCCAGTTTTTGAAAGTTGTCGATTTAGTATCAATATATTTTATTCATTATCTATGGGGTTATATATGAGAAAACCATAATAGTTTTGTACCCTTATTTAATCATGATATCCTTATGAATTAAAGAGGAACTCGTCCAATCACGAAAATGATATCACGGCACTGATATGTTGGTATAATAATATTATGCATAAATATGCAGATTAAGAAGAATACTATCATGCGTGAAAACAATTATTTCTAGCAAAATTCAGATTTGTTCATAGCATCGACCGACCATTGGTTGAAATATTTTCTTATCATAGCCATGTAGCCTTTGTTACACAGAGCGCCATCAGTATCACGTATGTGATGTTAACAATAAATTTGAGGGCGTCATTACACGTCGGTAAACATGAACTTGTACGTTTGTTTTGATCTAATTACAACACGCGTTTGAACTGCTCTCATAACTGAGGGAAAAGCGCCGAAGGCTCAACAGCAAATTACCAACGTACTCGAATCAGGTTCATTCGTAGTTGAAACGACCATTTACTTGTGCCAATGATTATATGGCAACACTGGTGTACTGCTGTTGAATCACTTTGAATCGTGTATTAATTAATTCGGCAATATTGAAAAATATTTCGTGATAACCCTTTCTTTTTTTGAAGAAAATGACACGTAACGAAACGATCCGTTGAAACAATACCCTGAATATTGCCACGTTACTGAGAAACGTAGTATCTGTATATTATTTATATCATACTGTCTTTTTAAAAAAATAAAATTAAAATTGAAAACAGAAGTAAATTATGAACGACTGTTCAGGTTTCATTAAATAAATAATAAATAATAAATTTGGGAATTATTAGTAATAAGTAATTATTGTCTATATATTGGTTCAATCAAACAGCGTTATGAATCCGATTTATGTAAATGGGATGGATGTGTTTAAGATGAAATGCATACATGGTAGCCATGCGTACGACAGAGACAATCTAACTTTGAAACCCCGTAAACGAGAATTTACCTAAATCATTTACTTATATAAATATAAAGAGTTTCGTGTCATATTTTTTTTTGGGGGGGGGGGGTCATTTGTCTATTTAATAACAGTTCGCATCAATATACTGTGCGTCAGCCTCATTTTTTTCCATAGCAGAAATCATCGCAGTGTGTGAGTGGGCGGACGACGACCTAATATAATAATACCCA